CTGGGGACTCAGATCCTGGTTCTTCTAGGCAGCTTACAGAGTCAGCCAACTCTGTAAGGTGGCCCTACAACTACTTCTACAGAGTGTTGATGAAGCTCATCTTCAACAGATAGATTATTATAGTCAGCCTCTGCTAGTGAATGTGCCTTCCTCCCATTTTGCACCCACAGCAGTATTGTCAGCCTCTCCTAAAATGGTGGTTTCACCTTACTATGAGCTTGTATTACAATTATTATAGAAGGCTCATAGTCTTCAAATATTTGGGAAAGCACCTGATAAAATCATTGTGCTTTATGATAAAGAGTTATCACATTTACAGACTAGCCATGACAGTTGGGCATTATTTATGTCCTCTGTGAATGCTTCCATTGATTGTCATTATCCTCCAAGCCTTTTGCTCACCTTCTTCAAGAGAAATCTTGTGATATTCTCCAAAATAGTAAAAGAAATGCCACTGTCTGGGACATGAATAGTGTTTATCGATGTGTCATCCAAAGGCTATGCTGTGGTGATCTCCAACAGAGAACAAAGACGAAGGCCTACTGGCAAGGTGTCCGCACAGGCAGCCGGGCTTTTAGCCTGCTTGATGGCATTTCAGCTATACACGAAGAATCCTTTAATTTGTAGCATTTATGTGGCTAACATCATTAAGCCTTTGGAGATAGCACCTGCCTCCCAGGTTCAACATTTAATAACAAAATTGCAAAATTTACTCTGAAGACAAAAATGCCCAATTTTTGTTGGGTATATCCATGCTCATACTGGGTTGTCTGGCCCACTGGCAAAAGGCAAACAAGTTGCTGATTCCCTGACTAGGGACTTTATTGGCTCCCTGGAGGAAAAGGCTTCTAAACTTCATATTAGATGCACATTCTTTAAAATTCCACACTGGCTGCTCCAGAGATGTTGCCACCTCTACTGCAGCCCAATGCCCTGCTTGTGCGCCATTCCACACTGTTCACAACGATGGGGTAAATTCTTGAGGCCTAAAAGCTAATGACATTTGGCAGATGGATGTCACCCATTTGGGGTTGGCTGGTAGGTTAAAATTTATGCATTTGTCTGTGGATACCTATTCTATAGTAATCTTTGCCTCCCTTCATTCTGGAGAAAGAACCAAGGATTTTACTTCACATTGCTTGCAAGCCTTTGCTTATATGGGCATTCCCAATACTCTAAAAACTGACAATGGGCCTGCCTATGCAAGTTATAGATTTGCTGCCTTTTGCAAAGGTTATGATATTCAACATCATTTTGGTATTCCTCACAATCCCACGGGCCAAGCCACTGTGGAATGCTCACATGCAACATTGAAACAATATTTTTAAAAAATAAAAAGGGTGGGACTATATCTCCTCTCCCAACACTCAGCTTTCTACAATTCTTTTCATTTTAAATTTTTTTGCCTGTTGATAATGAGAACCGTTCTGCCATGGAAAGACATTGGAACAAACCCTTCCAGTTTTTAGGCTGGGTCAGATGGAAAGATCTTGTCTCAGGCCAATGGCATGAACCAACTCCCCTGTTAGCAAGGGTGAGAGGAGCTGTTTGTGTTTCTCCCCCCCCCCAAGCACGGATAAGCCCATTTGGACCCTGGAGCGCCATGTTTGCCCTGTGGACCCTGCTCTTGGGAGCTACCGTGATGAGCCAGATAAAACCGGGTCACACCAACAGGGAAGTATAGACCCTTGTACGCAATCCCCAATACTGATGCCTGTCAGTCAGTATTCCTTGTCTCCTGCCTGTTATACCACCAATTACACATTGGGAACGGCAGCGGCCAATATTAAATTGGAAAGCTCCTCACTTCAAAAATCTTACCTTTACTTTGAAGGAAGTTCTTTGTTTTGTTAAAGTAATGAATACAAGCCAACTAACAAATACATCCCTTTTGGGCTCCTGCCTTATATTGAGTAATGCCTCCATTGCAGATTTTTCAAGTAATTCATCTAATTGCTAAGCCAGGTTCTTGGTTTGAAGGCTATCTGGTACCCTGTTAACCAAAAGAGAGGAAATGGTACCAGGGTGCCCCCTTGAGCAGTGCCACCCTTCTAGCCAAATGATAAAAGATATTCATTACCTTCCATTTTATCTTGGGGAGATTGTGTTACTCAAGACCCTTGGCTCCTCAAAGGAACTGATTCATTGTGGTGGTATGGGCACAGTCCACCTTTCAAAAACACTACAGATCCAGGGAAAGAATATATCACTTTAGGAACCCTAACCAGGCCAGAATCATTCCTATATTTTCCAGTATTTTTTCTGTGGGCCTTGTGCCTGTCTGGATGCTAGACCTTTAGCTGTTGGATCCTAATTCTGGGGTCATGATGGGCTGATGGGAGAGCCCCATGACACAAACACCAAAACCAGGAGAATCAACAAGCAAGAGGTGTTTATTGAACGAGTGCGCTCTGGTGTCAGCAATCTCTGGGAAAGCTGCACACCCTTCAAAGGGTTCAGGCTCTCTTTTTATAGAGAAAGACTGCAATCAGCATTCATGCATGGGGCACAAGGTGATTGATTACAAAGTATGATCTCATGTTTGAGAGATCACCCAGGTATGATCTGCTCTTATTCAAAGGATAAACCATAGAATGACTTGGAAAGTCCCCAGTCTGTCTATTGGCCAGATATGACCCAGATAGTGCTATTCATCTGGGACCATTTGTTCCAGGATTGGGGGCCTATTTCATTGTTTGGGCTAAGACCTGTGAAAAACTTCTATCATACTCTGGCTTTCTCTTGGCTGTACATTTAGAGCCTTCAGTTATTCCACAAAGGTTTGATGATTCAGTAACTAGCCCTATTTAACAAGATCAGCCTATCATATAACCATTAGCCCCATCACCATAGTAACCTTTCTTGTTCTCATAATTCCTGATTTTTTCCTCCCATGTCAATGTCCATTCTTTATGATTTTCTATATTCTGCTTGCAAGAATTATTTTTCTTCCTACAACCTTGCTCTGCAAACTAAAATCTTTTATAGCCTTACAAAAAGGATTGGCCTGTGTTGTGCCCTCATTTTTTATTCTCAGTTCGAATTCTACTGGGGAAGGGGAAGATTTTCTCAATTGTTCTTCTAGCTCCTGTACCCTAATTGCTGGCCCACGACCGATACTGCTGCCCTCACTGTACCGGATCCTTCCCTGGCACCCATGGTGGTTGCCAATGCTCACAGTGGTGAGGAGATAATTCTGTACTGACCCAAGAGGGACTTTGGAATCACTGCAGCTGCTGTGATCACCGCCATCACTGTTTCGGCTACCGCTGCAAGGGTGGCAGGCATTGCTGTTGCCCAATCAGCATCGAACACTGAGACTGTAAATTCCTTGGCCGTAAGAGTTAGTGAATCAAACGTGTGTTACTCTGGTTATCAGCGAAGGATGGTGGAATGCCATGGCTCAATAGGGGGATGGGTTCAGCAGTGGTCTGGGACTCTGTTACTAGTAATAATTGAGTTACTCCTGGCCTGTGTTGGATTGCTTGCCTTGAGAAGGGTTTGCCAGATCTTTAACCAGAAAGAACGTACGCACAAACAAATATTGCTCAACCTAGCTCATGGCTCTCCCGGTAGCCATAAACTTTGGCTCCAAATGCTAAATAGAGATTAAAGGGGCTCGATGATGGGCGACTTGCTAGGTAACCGCCCTGCCTAAGACAGGAATCGAGGCCTTCCAAAGATGGGTAAAGGGAGAGGTGGCCAGCGTGACCTAAGACAGAACCCCTTCATAAAAAATAAAAAGAGGGGAATTGTGGGAACCAAGAGACCTCGGTACAACAATCCCCACACACAGATGGCTTAGAAACAGCCGTTAGTCATGCAAATGTTAGTGCAAGATAAGATGTTGGTGTTCCACCTGGGTTCCTGGAACTGTTTTTGACAAAACCCTTTCCGGGAACATGAAGACCTTGACTGAACCCAGGCATGTGACATGAGGAACTGCCTCGCTATCTCCCCTTCCCTTCCCGAGTCTAGGGTATATAAGCCTCCAAGCCGCTTTAATAAAGAGCCTTCTGATCTGACTGCCGTGTGAATGTGTCTTCAATCCTGATGCCCTCCAAGTGACTCGAACCCGTGCAGGCACGGCAAGTCTGTGCTCTTGATCGCTGAGCCACCTCTTCTGCCCTCTTTGTGGGGTTTGATATTTTGGTTTTTGGTTTTGACACAGGGTGTTGCTGGGTAGTGCAGTCTTCCTGTCTCTTCTTCCTGCTTTAGAATTAAATGTACCATTACCAATGAAGTGCAGGTGGAGGCCAGAGGACAACCTTGTACCTAAAGCTGACGACCATCTTGGTGTTTGAAATAGGGTCACTGAGTTCTGGGAACTTGCGACTCCAAGGATATGTCTGTGTCTGTTTCTGAGTGCTGGGATCACACAGACTCCATCACCACTACTGTGTGACTTCTGGGAATTTAACTTGAGTCTTTATGTTTTGAAGACAAGTGTTTACACTGACACTGTTTTTAATGAAACCATGTTGGGAATTTTGTTTTTGTTTTCCGAGACAGGGGTTGTCTGTGTAGCCCTGGCTGCCCTCGAACTCACAAAGATCCTCCTGTCTCTGCCTTCTCAGTACTGAGATTACAGGCATGCGCTAACACTGCCTGGCTCTGTATTAGCAATCTGATAAGTGTATTTTAATATAGGCTGAGTCTACGTTGGCTAGACTGGCCTCAAACTCACCGATATTTGCTCGGCTTTATGGTGACGTGTCCCTCCCCCCACCCCTCCCCCAGTGCTGGGATTAAAGGCGTGTGCCACCACCCAGCTATTACAGCGACATTTCTTAAATCTTCCTGCTTCTTCATTTTTAAAGCAGGAATACCAGCGTAATAAGGTCACACACAGGAACATTCCTCAAAGTTCCCCCACCAAGTGCCAAAAGCCTACCCTTTATCCCTCAAGCTGCCTGGATAGAGCAATGGCAGCCCGCCCACCTCTACAACACTCACAGGCAGCCGGAAGAGGCGGGACCTTAGCCCCCTGCGCAGTTCCGCCCTCGCCACCCTGTAACCAATCGGGCTCCCATGACCCGCCCCTTCCGCTCGGGAAAGCGAACTCCCAGACTGTCTTCCGGCGGGAGCTGTAGGGCTCCTTACCATGGTGAGTTGGCCGTGGGGTGTGCGGGTTTGCTGCGGGGTGCTTCCTCCTGCTTCCTCGCCCGAGCGTCCCGCTGTGCCGCAGCGGCTCGGAGACGCGCATTGGGACTGTGCTGGGCAGGGAGAAGCGGCTGCTCACACGCGGGTGCCCGTAGCTCCTGTCTTAGGGGTTCCTGACCAGTGCCTCTCCAGCTGGGGATCCGAGATTTGCCTGGTAGTCCAATAAACTCTGTCAACATCATCAACGACTAGAGTAGCGATGCTTGAGCAGGGTGTTAGGGCGAGTGTTCACGCGTTTCTTGCATTTGAGTCTTTAAATAGCTTGCTTCTGCTACATTCTCCCTAAGCACCGGCGGTTACAGAAAGTAAAGGGTTACTGGAGCAACTAGTGAAAGGCTCTGGTATCCGCTATGCTTATTGCAATGTCGTGTTTCCCCTAAAGATGAGTAAGTCCATAGTTGTTGCGCTAAACTGAATGTACTGGCACACGCCTAAGGCCTACACTTCATTTAGTTAAGGCAGGAGTGTTGCAATTTGAAGGCTAACCTAGTCTACATAGAAACCCTACCTGTAGGAAAAAAATCTAAAAACAGACAACAAAACCCAGAAGTCAAACACGAATCTCTCAATTTTATGTAAAGGTGAGCAGGTGGTTGTGTTTCTGATGTCAGAGTGCTAGCCGCCCTGTGACACCGTCACAAAAACTCATTGATTCCCTTATTGGTAGTTTACATAGAACAATAGCACCTTTTTGTTTTCTTAATGTATTTTTAAAAATTTAATGAAGATCTTTTAAAGACTTTGTTGTATTTTAAATTGTGAGGGCATGTGCACATTCGTGCAGATGTCAGAGGAAGCCAGAGACATTAGATCCCCTGGGGATGGAGTTACAGGCAGTTGTGATCCAATGTGGGCACTAGAAATCGAACTTGGCTGCTCTGGAAGAACATTAAGTATGCTTAGCAACTGAGCCATTTCTCCAGTCCCAAAGTTATTATTTTTTAAAATTTTGTATATGGATATTGTGTCTGCATGTATGTTTGTGCATGAAGTGCGTGCTTGATGTCTTTGGAGGTAAGAAGAGGGTGTTGGAGCTCCTGGAATTTGGAATTATACATGATTATGAGTATCTTGTTGGCACAGGGAACTGAACACTGCCCTCTGTAATAGCAGTGAGTGTTCTTAACTTCTGAGTCATAGTTCTAGCCCCTGACTTTAAAAAAAAAAATTCTTACACAACACTTCCATAAAATCTTGGTGACCCTTTGCATACAGAAAATGAGCAAAACTTTTCCCTCTGTGGGGAGTGACAGTGACCAAAAAGCCTTCAGTCTTTCTTGCTTTTTTTTTTTTTTTTTAATAAACATACCCAACATCCATATTCTGGCAACAGTGAATAGCTTGCAAACTGTTGTATGAATTGGACCTTTGACCTAATTTGCATATGCTGTTCCATCTGCCTGGGTTCTCCATTTCCTACTCATATCAGTATCACCCTTGCCTGTAATTCACTCTTTGGATGTGTGTGTGTACAGGTATGTGTGGAGGTCAGAGCTCAATGTCAGATGTCTTATTTTTGTGGTTCTGGGAATTGAACCTACGGCAACAAACATTTAAAGCATGTTTTCTACCACTGAGCTATAGCTACAGCCGGAGGAGTCTTAGTATTTCTGCTTTCCTGGTCCTAGGATTACAAGCTCTTTACCTGGATGCTGCACCTCTAAACAGAGGTCCTCATTGTGTGGCAAGCACTTGACCAGCAGGGCCACCAGCCCTCATAAGCACATATCTCAGTACCCTGGCATTGTTTTTCATGTCTTTGTCTTCCCTATGGAATTTGGGTGAGGGAGTGAAAGTCTTATCTATTATTATTATTATTATTATTATTATTATTATTATTATTATTACTTATTTATTTTTTGAGACAAGGTTTCTCTGTGTAGCCCTGGATGTCCTGGAACTCACTGTGTAGATCAAGCTGGCCTCCAACTCACAGAGATCCACCTGCCTCTGCCTCCCAAATGCTGGGATTAAAGGCATTTGACACCACCACCCAGCCAGGAAATGGTTTTATGACTTGCATGTTCTAATAAAGAAAATGCTCTGTATAAGAATATGGTGCTTTCTTAGAAAATGTGAAGAAAGTATAACAATTAGCATTAGTAAAGACTAACTTATAATAGCTATCCGGATGATGATTGTCCTATAGCTAATCGCAAAAGGAATAGCATAAAAGCACTATAGCTTGGAATAATCTTAAGAAGACTTTATGTCAAAGTGAAATATGCAACAGTCCTTTGTAACTTCCTCACACAATTCCCCCCCTCTCATGCACTCTGTGTGTGCATATATATGTTTTATGTGTGTGTGTATGCATGTGGAGAACAGAGGACAGAGATCAGTGTGGTTGTCTTCATTGACTATCTACCTTACATGTAATGTGATATGTGTACCTATTCGTGTGTGAGCTAGAGCTGGACATTGGTATCTTCCTCAGTCAACCTTCACCTATTTATTTTTTATGTATGTATTTATTTATTACTGATTTTGAGACAAGGACACTGTGTAGTCAGACCATGTTTGCCTCATACTCAAAGATCCTCCTGCGTCTGTCTTGCTAGTGCTGGGATTAAAGGCCTCTTGTCTTTACATTTTTGGGATGTTTGCTAATTGACAAAACCAGACTTGCGTACCAAAGAGTTCCAAGTAGGGTTGGAGAGATGGTTTAGTGGTTAAAATGCCAATTGTTCTTCCAAAGGACCCAGGTTCAGTTCTCAGCACTGATATGGTGGCTCATATCCACCTGTAACTCTAGTTTTGGGGGAGAACCAATTCACCTTCTGCCCTCCACAGGCAACAGACACATATGTGGTGCACAGATATATGTGTAAGCAAAACACCCATACACATAAAAAATGTTCAGTGTCTTAAAAGGTCCAACTGGGCATAGTGGTGCATACCTTTGATTCTAGCACTTGGAAGGCAGAGGCAGGCACAAGCTCTGTGAGTTCCTCAGGTGAATCCCTGTGAGCCCATCTGGTCTACACAGTGAGTTCCAGGAAGCCAGAGCTACATGAGAAACCTTGTCTCAAAAAAGACATCAAAACAAAAACAAAGCTCCAAGATCTCACCTCTCTGCCCTTACCTCCAGACCACTGGAGTTGTAGTTTGCATCACACTTGGCATTTATATGGGTGCTAGGATACACACTCAGACCCTATGCTTTTTTTTGACAACAAGCACTGTATCAACTGAGCCAGCATCTACATAATCTTAGGATGGCACCAGAAGTGACCCTCTGCCTTTCAAAAAAATATTTGACCCCAACCTAAGAAAGTAATGAAGGTCCATGGGGTAAACTGGGGGCTGGAGAGATGAATGGCCCTGTACTAAAGAGAGCTTTCTGTTTATAACCTAGAACTCCACTTCTGAGAACCAGCTGCCTCCTAGCCGCCCACCACAGGCATCCACACAGGTGGCACACACTTAAACAGACACATACATTTACATAAATTCCTTTTTTTTTTTTTTTTGGTTTTGGTTTTGGTTTTTCAAGACGGGGTTTCTCTGTATTGCTTTGGAGCCTGACCTGGAACTAGCTCTGTAGACCATGCTGGCCTCGAACTCAGAGATCTGCCTGCCTCTGCCTCCCAAGTGCTGGAATTAAAGGCATGCACCTCCAATGCCCGGTCACATAAATTCTTAAAAAGAGTTTTCCTTAATGGGGTGAGGCTAAATAGATATCCAAGAATCACACTGATTTTGTTGGTTTTCGAGACAGGGTCTCCCGACAGAGCTGTCTATACTTGAACTCAGTGTGTAGTCCAGGCTGACCTCAAACACAGGAAGACCCTCCTGCCTTTGCTCCCCCAGTGCTGGGAATAAAGGTGTGCACCACCACATATGGCTTAAGGACCAAACTGGTAAACAGCATTTTTTAAAGTTTCATGGTATATATCCACTGAACTGGATTACAAAAGGACGTTTTCACACAAATATATTTGTAGTTTGAGCAGTTGTCCATGGTCCTGCTCTCCCTTCTCTTTCCTCACCTTTCCCCACTCCGAGTTCCCTTTGCTCCCTGTTGTGCCTACTGGGTTTCCTCAACCTCCAAGGAAGTGACTTCCAACTGCAAAAGCAAAAGGTTTTTATTGCTAAGAACCAAACCGGCTTGAACTTTACTCTATCGGAAGAGTAAGGCGCCTGCCTACAATTGTGAAGAGTTTTTTAAAAGGGAAAGGGAGGCTTGAGACTGCTAGTATCAGCTCACAAGGTTTTTGAAGTTACAGAGATTTTACAGAGTACAAAGTTTCTTTACAAGGTCAGCAGGGTCAGTGGCCTTGTTCTCAAGATAATAGGGCAGGGAGGATGTTGGTGGTGGGCTCTGGCTTTCTTCCTTATCTCCTGAGAACAGCAGTCTCAGGGGTTTATTTACTGGCAGAAATTCTTGTTCTTTCTAGTTTTCTCTCCTTGCCATAAGCCCTAATTTTATTCCTTTTAGTTATTAATTTTTCTATCATACTCCCTTACATGGTTTGATGAAGCAACATTTGTTTTGGGATGAAAATATCCCATATATTTTGTCATTATTGTTTCGGTGTGGTTTTTTGAGACAGTGTCCTGTGTAGCTTTGGCTGTCCCAGAACCCATTCTGTAGACCAGGCTGGCCTAGAACTCACTGAAATCTACCTGTCTCTGTTGTTTGCTTTATTGTTTTGTTTTTATGAAAAATTTCAAAATTCAAACATACAAAAGGGCTTGATACCAGCTGGGTGTTGATGGCACACGCCTTTAGTCCTAGCACTTGGGAGGCAGAGGCAGGCAGATCTCAGTGAGTTCAAGACCAGCCTAGTCTAAAGAGCCACTGAAGCCTCTAAAGCCCTATCTCAAAAAACAAAACAAAAAAGGGCTTGCTACCTTTCATCAACAACTGTTTTTGTTTGTTTGTTTGTTTGTTTGTTTGTTGTGTTTGAGGCCATTTCAGGTAGCCCAGGTTGACCTTAGAGATTGCTGTGTAGCCAATGACCTCCCCACCTCCAATTCTGGTTCTCCTGTACCCATCTCCCAAGTTCTGAGATTGTGTGCCTGGCTTCAATTATTTTTATACCAGCTGTTGCTGCTGCTGTTTTTCCCTTCCTTTCTCTCAGTGCAGTAACACTAATGTCACCTCTAAGATCATTTACAAGTTCCTGTAGCCCCTGGGGTGCTGCAATTCAGTCTGTTGGGTTTTCACGCTTAGGGTCTTTTTGCTTGGGTTTTGTTTTTGAGACAGGATCTCACTGTGATCCCTTCACAGAGAAGCACCTGACTCTGCCTCCCCACTGAAGCATTTACCTGATTATTCTTTATCAATAAAAACTCAGGAGTCAGATATCCAGGTAAAAATCTGATCCGTGACCTCCTCTCTGCTTCCTCAGTCTAAAGGGCCTGTGAATCTTTCGAAGTCCCTCCCTCCTACTTCCTGTGTCTCTGTACATCCTGGGTCCTCCAAATCCTCTATGGCTAATTCTGGTCAGCTAGTAGCTAGCTCCACCCTCTGATTCAAGGTAAACGTTATTGTCCATTTTGGGAGTGTCAGAATACAATCAAATATCCAACAATACCCATGTGCTGGGATTAAAGGCTTGTGCCACTACACTCAGCTGCACTCACAACCCAGAGCCACTGTTTTTTGGCTACATCAGTATTTGACTCAAATTTCAGTGAAGTTGAAATGTAGGTTGGTTGTTATATTGACCCTGCCTTTGGTGTTTAAGAAAGTACTCTTGAGTTGGGTGGTGGTGGCACACACCTTTAGTCGAAGCACCTGGGAGGCAGAGGCAGGCAGATCTCTGAGTTTGAGGCCAGCCTGATCTACACATCAAGTTCTAGGATAGACTCCAAAACTACAGAGAAATCCTGTCTCAAAAAACAGACAAACCAAAAATATTTAACCTGGCAGTGGTGGCGAATGCCTTTAATCCTAGCACTCAGGAGACAGAAGCAGGTGGATTTCTGAGTTCTAGGCCAGTCTCATCTACAGAATGAGTTCCAGGACAGCCAGAGTTGCACAGGGAAACCCTTTCTCCAAAAACAAAACTCCCAAAATCTTTAATTAAATTTGCATGTCAGCAATCAAGTTAGGATACATGGCTCTTTGATGGTTAAGAAAGAGCTCTCTCCCCTCCCAAATAATTCTCTCTCTCTCTCTCTCTCTCTCTCTCTCTCTCTCTCTCTCTTCCCACCTTCCCCCTCTCTCTCCCCGTAGGAACATATATTTTTAGTACAAGGAAAGTGGGGTCTTTATGAGTGTTAATGAAACACTGCACTTACCCCTATGCTGTTGTTGTTACAGGGGCCATGAGGGTATCTCCATTCCTTGACTAAATGCCTAAAAGAGAACAAAGGGGTTGTATTGTATGGCCTCTTAGCTTCATTAATGTGAATGTAATATTGGGGGTGGGGGGGGCTTGTCCAGAGCTAAAATGCCTACATCTGAATTCCTAATTAGCTGTTTGCTAGCTTTGAGACTTTGACCAAAAATAATTTGCTTCTCATATGGGTATTTGAGCATTAAATCAATAAATGCAATTAAGTTGTGCAGAGTAAGTGCTTGGTATGTGGGGCAATCAATAAGTTAATCACAGGATCTTTGAAGATTATCAGATATTCAAGGCTGATTTGTATTTTATATATATATCTTAAAGGGGACAATTCATCTCTTTCGAAAGCCGCAGAGGTCCTTTTTTGGGAAGTTACTACACGAATTTAGACTTGTAGCAGCTGACCGCAGGGTAAGTCCTTCTTTGACCATGGGTTGAGTTCTTGCAAAGTCACATGTGGAGGTTAGAGGGCAACTTGGGAGTCACTTCTCTCTCTACCTCGTGAGTTCAGGGACCAAACTCTGGTCCTTGGACTGGGCAACAATACCTATACCCTTTGAGGCATGTTCCGGCCCAGTAATTGACAGTTTCTAAGCCGTAGTGTCTTGTTCATCTGTGTTACCATCCTCATTTCTCATCTTTCTTGACCTTTTACCACTGTTGACAAGAATTGGTCACTTCTCCTTTAAGTATAGCATCATATAAATTGTAAGTCAGTCTTTGGCTTTCTTCCTACTGACTTGTCCATTATTTTTCAGGTATTTTCACCACTTTTCTTACTAGTGTACTTTGGAGTGTTAGTTCAGTTCCAGCCTCTCTGATTTTGCACATCTAGAAAAGTTGTCTGCTTAATGGTTGTCATTACTCCCTGTATACGAATGACTCCATGTTTAAATCTCAAGTCCTAACTTCTCCCCCCCCCCTCCGCTTCCTTTATGGAATTTGGACTCTTCAGTGTCCCACTGGAAACTGAACCTTAATTCTCATTCACTTGCATATTAACTGGGTAGTCTTTCAGATTAGCCAGAAAAGTTTAAATCGTTTTTATCCTCGCATGGTTGTTTCTAGCAAATGTGACAGCTCTGACCCTTAGCATGCCCTCTTACCATTGTCAAGCCATAGAGTAGCCAGAATGATCTTTTGCTTTCTTTAGGCAGGGTGGGGTTGAAAGCCTCAACATGTAGCTTAGGCTAGCCTCAGACTTGCTGTGTAGCCGGTGCTGGCCTCCAGCTGCAACCCTCTTACCTCTGCACCCTGAGTGCTGTGATCGAAAGTGTACCCCCACATACCCAGGAGAATGCTCTTTAGGGAATATGAGACAGACACAGTCAATGTTTCCTAATGTTCAAGATGGCACAAGCTATTGCCTCAGACCTCCTCTCTTGTGGTCTCTCAGACTGTTTTCTGTGACTTTACTGCAAGTTCTTTCTGATGAGCCTGTCTAGAAAAGAATCATCTCCAGGTCTTTCTCCTATTTCTGTTTGTTTGTTTGTTTGTTTGTTTGTTTAGTTTTTTTTTTTTTTTTTTTTTCAAACAGGGTTTCTCTGTGTTGCCTTGGGCATCCTGGAACTTAACTCTGTAGAGCAGGCTGAGCCTGAACTCACTGATTTGACTGCCTACTTTTTCATCTTTTCCTTGTACTTATTACCATTAACCTAAATACTTGTTCATTGTCACCGCCTCTGTTGTAGGGCTGTGTTTTGCTCTCTGTGGTACTCTCACTCCTAAAATAATGCTTGGCATAGAAAGTTGTTGATTAAATAGCTTGATTGAGAGAGTTATCTTTAAATTTAAGTTCTTGGGTTGTTCTTACAGGGCTTTGCTCTGTTGCCTATGCTACTCTAAATGACCCTCCTGTTTCACTGTAGTGACTTGATTGATGATGATTTGGTAGATGTAAAAAATGGGACACAGCTTTTTGTCAGTGTGAATTAGGCAGCTTGGAAAGATCTGCTGAACTCTGTCAACACTGAATGAATGGTGTGCTTTTCCTTTCCACAGTCCTGGAAGATCCTTCTCTTCGGTGCAGTCAACGTGCTGTGCACTGGCTTCCTGCTCATGTGGTGCAGCTCTACTAACAGCATAGGTATGTCTCCCTTTGGATTTTTATCAGCTCAGCTTCACTTTTGCTTCTGACTTTAAAGAAAGATGTATGTGCTGGCTAGTCTTCTGCAACTCGACACAAGCCCTAGTCATCTGAGAGGAGGAACCTCAAGTAAGAAAATGCCTCCATAAGATTGGTCTGTAGGCAGGCCAGTAAAGCATTTCAAAATTAGTGATCAGTGGAGGAGGGCACAGCTCATTGTGGATGGTGCCACTCTAGGTTGGTAGTTCTGGCTTCTACAAGAAAGCAAGCCTACTAAAGTCATTTGGCTCATGCCTTTAATCCCAGCACTCTGGAGGTAGAGGCCAGCCTGGTCTACATAGTAAGTTTCAGGACAGCCAAGGTTACATAGAAAGACCTGTCTCCAAGTGGGGAAAAAAAAGTCAAGTTTTAGGGGCTGGAGAGATGGCTCAGTGATTAAAAGCACTGGTTGTTCTTCCAGAGGATCTGGGTTCAATTCCCAGCACATACATGGCAACTAACAACTGTTTGTTTATAATTCCATAGCCCAGGAAGTCAATTTCTGCAGGACTGCAGGCATGTGTGTGGTGCATAGACATGCATGCAAGGAAAACAGCCACATAAATAAAGTAAAAATAAATAAATCTTAAAAAATAAGGAAAGAGGGCTGGAGAGATGGCTCAGCTGTTAAAGGTTAGGCTCACAACCAGAACAATAAGGAAAGAAAGAGCAAGCCAGTAAGCAGCACTCCTCCATAGCCTCTGCATCGGCTCCTGCCTCCAGATTCTACCCTGTTTGAGTTCCTTCCTTGGCTTCCCTCATTAGATTATGCTTTAGGATGTGAGCCAAATAAACATTTTCTTTCCCAGGTTGCTTTTGGTAATGATATTTTATCATAGCAATAATAACCCTATGACAGCATATTTCCCTTTATATGTGTTTTTCTGAAATGTGCTTTTATTTGTTTGTTTGTTTGTTTGTTGTGGGCTTTGATGTTTTGCCTTCAAGTATATTTGAGTGAGGCTGCCAGATCCCCTGGAACTGAACTTATAGATAGGTGTGAGCTGCCACGTGGGTGCTGGGAATTGAACCTGCGTCCTTTGGAAGAACATCTAGTGCTCTTAACCACTCAGCCATCTCTCCCACCCCTGAATACTTGCTTTTAAAAAACAAACATTAAGTTTGATTTATCTTATTTGTGGGGTGGGAGGCATGTATGGACATCAGAGGGTAATGTATGGGAATTGTTTCTCTTCATCCACCACGTGGGGCCAGGGATCAAACCCAGGTATGTCAATCTTGGTGTGGCAAGGACTTGTACCTGCTGAACCATCTTGCAGGCCCAGTATTTTGTTTTGTTTTTTGTTTTGTTTTGTTTTTTGTTTTTATGAGAATATATTTAAACATCCCTGTAAACAGTAAAGCTTAGTTATTTGATTGGATGTTACTTTTTCTTTCTTTAGGTGTTCTTGTTTTGTTTTTTAGATGGAATCTCATGTAGTCCAGCATGGTCTTAGACTCACTACATAGCCAGGATTACCTTGAATGTCCACCCCACCCCGCCTTCTCCAGTGTGGGTTGTAGGCATTTGCCATCATGCTGGCTTTTACGCATGGATTGAACCTAGGGCTTTGTATATGCTAGGCAGACCTGAGTTCAGTTCTCAGCATCCCATCAACCATCTGTACCTCTGCTTTCAAGGATCCAGACCCTCTGGCCTTATCAGGCTCCCTGCATGTACATATTGTTTATAAGCTCACAGAGGCCACACATCCACATTTAAAGATAATAATAATAAGAGTGGATTAAGCAGCATTTTAATGAGTCTTTCTGTTGTTTCTGCAGCTTTAACTGCTTATACTTACCTCACCATCTTTGATCTTTTTAGGTAAGTTTTTTTTTTAATATCATTAAAATTTTAAAGACAACAAACAAGGATTGTGTTTAGCTTTGTTTGTTTTGGTTTTTGTTTCAAGACAGTTTCCCTGTGTAACAATCCTTGCTGTATTGGAAATCACCCTATCTTGGTGGAACCCCCCCCCCACACACACACACACATACTTCATTCCACTTCTTATATCTCTGAATGTCTTCCTATTCCTACTTTCTAATGTTCTAATGCATACTTTGTTTTTCCTTAGTTTAATAACATGTTTAATAAGCTACTGGGTAATGATGAGGAAGCCTAGCCCTGCCTATTCATTTGGGTAAGTAAGTTCAGATTATTTTATTTTCTTCTAAATTATTGCTGTTAACATATTAATGGTAGAGAGCTGGCTATAGTATTTCTGGAAAATAAAAATAAATAAATGCCACATGCTTAGTGACATGGAGGTAAATAGTGAATGTACATGCCAAATATTTTCTAAGAAGAGTCTACAAATGACAGATAATAAGAACAGTAATTATATTACAATATTCATATTCAGTTTTATATTTTATGAAAGAAATACAAACAGAAACTTATCTCAGTAAGCTCTTTAATATTTTTGGATGGTATTTTAGTCATAGAAAGTATGAAGATTATTTTTTTTTTTTTGGTTTTTCTACACAGGGTTTCTCTATAGCTTTGGAGGCTGTCCTGGAACTAGCCAGGAATTGGCCAGGCTGGTCTCTAACTTACAGAGATCTGCCTGCCTCTGCCTCCTGAGTGCTGGGATTAAAGGTGTGCACCACCACCGCCCCTCTGAAAGTATGAAGAATTTTAACAAGTGAATTTTATATGTACTATGATGTATTTCAATATTTTGCATTGATGGAGATATATTTCTATAGTGAAACTTTGGATTTAACAGTGAGCTAATGAAACTTTGAAGTTTCTGTTTCTATAGTTATAGAAATAATCACTGAGAGTTGAAAATTGTACTTTTTATAATAGAGGACACTCTAATGATGTGTTAGAAAACGTGAATCTTCATAATGACTTGTGCTGTTTACTCTTACATTGCTATGACAAAATACCTGGCCAATAACCTGGAAAAGGAAGTAGTTATTTTGGCTCACTGTTTCAGAGAGTTCAGTTCATAGTCTCTTGGTCATATGTGTTTGAGCACAGCATCATCAGAGTGGGAGAAGAAGGGAGAAGACATCTGGTTGTACTGTGGAGGACAGAAAGCAGAGAACATAGGCATACAGGAAGTGACCAGACCACAATGTGACCCCAGGGCACGCTGCTCACTGTTTCCTTCAGCTAGTCCCCATCTCTTACCTCTTGTCACCTCCTAGTTAAGACTCCCATGTTATGGCTGTCCAGGTACTAATACATTCTGGGAACACCATCACAGACTCATCCAGAGGTATAGTTCTTATAGAAGTTTCTTTATTCAATCAAGGTGAGCCATTCAGTTTAATTAAACTGAATTAAAGTTTAATTGAAATAATCTGTTAAGTACTAGATAGTGTCCAATACAAAATTGGTCAATTAAGTTTACCTCTTATGATAATGTTTCTACAAAAATAATGGCCATAAATGATTATAGAAACAGGTATAAAGTAGATACTGTGGGAGATACTCAGACACACAGACACACAGATACACAGTCACACAACCACACAGACACACAGATACACAGACACATAGTCATACTACCACACAGACACACAGTCACACAGACATACAACCACACAGACACACAGTCACACAGACACACAACAGCACAACCACACAAACACATAGCCTCACAGCCAGCCACAGAGTAAGAAGGAAAAAAAGACATAGACAAAGAAAGGCAAAAGCCCAGAGCAAAATGTAGTTAAAGAGAAATGGGATAATATAAGTTAGAAAAGCTCAGTAGAAACAAGCCAAGCTAAGGCCAGGCACTCATAAGTAAGAATAAGTCTCCGTGTATTTATTTGGGGGCTGGGTGTCAGGCCACCAAAGAGTTTTTTAAAAAAAAGAAGCTACAGAAGATCGTGCTTTTCAAACTGCAGCTCCAGGAAGGACACACACGAACAATCAACCCTGACAGTCAGGAAAGTGGTAGATGTCACAAGCCTGTCCTCCTCTTACCCACTGTGTTGATACACTCTTCGGCAATTTCTGTAGTCTTAATAGCTGACTAACAATAGACTATCTGTACATATATTGAACCAGTAAATATTTGAATGTATATGTGTTCTAGGAAGACTGGTTTATTAATTGAACAATTTTGGCATTCAAACTAATTATCTGATTTCAGGTTTGAAAGATTAGAAGTATTGGCTGTGTTTGCTTCTACAGTCTTGGCACAGTTGGGAGCCCTCTTTATACTAAAAGAAAGGTACATTTTTGTATGTATTATTATCAGTCTCACCTATGACACTTGGAAATATGAGAGACTCCAGTAATGGTTTGTATGATATGCAAATTATAATGGACATCTTTGGAGCTCTGGTAGTACAATTTCTTCTTATTTCAGACTCCTTGTCCTTCTTTTCTGCTTGTGGCTGCTTGTGGTTCTTTCTTTGGTAGTACTAAATTCAGTCATTATGAATTTGAATGGATGACACTCGGCCTAACATGTGTTGGACTTCCTTACCAGCCCAGTGAAGTGGGTTTGGTAGAGGAATATTGAGGATAACCCTACCTGTTAGTGTCCTGGTATCATCTCCACTAAACAGACTAAGAGATTTTTATGAACTTTCACAAGAGATCCACCTGCTACTGCCTCCCAAGTGCTGGGATTAAAGATATGTGCCATCAACACTCTGTTTAATACAGATTTTTAGGTTTATATTTGTAGAACTTACTTGATAAAGTTTTCTTTCTTTTAGTGCAGAACGCTTTTTGGAGCAGCCTGAGATACACACGTAAGCTGGGTTACTTATTTATCACAACTATGGGGGTCAATCTCAATCTCAGGGTTTCATGTACATCTCCAGCCAAAGAGTTTTATTTTGGGAATAATTTTAATCCCCATTATTACTTTGTCCAGCCTCAGAGTTCAAAATATGGCCATTTGTCTTATCACTAACATCTCAGGAAGAGAACCTCCAAATCCCAAGACTGCCTTTAACAGTTCCCAGATGCTGGTCTTGTAATGACACAGGAAGGATTTTGTAACTTCGGGCCTAGGTCAGCACACTAAACCACCTCCCTCTAGTGTTTCTGTTGCTTCATATTTAACCCCAAACACTTTCCAGGCAGCCTTTAGAAAAGATTGTACTTATCTTGCTTGCCAACTCTGTGGGCCTCTTTAATTGAGAAACATCTGACTCATCTAGCATGTCAGCACAAATTCTCTTAAAATTTATATAAACCTATAGTGGTAATTATCCATGAGAAAAGATTGTGATGGTGAGAGACCTGTCCTGTCCTGTGTAAATGGAGCAGCAGTGGCAAGACATGAATTTTCTGGGTAGAAAACAATTTTGGATTCTGATTGGTAAACCATTAAAACGGATCCCTCTTCCCTTCCTTTCCCTTATTCTCTCCACATACTGATATTACAGATTGGAATTATCAAGAAAAAAATTAAAGGTGAATGTTTTGTTCTTTTTAGGGGAAGATTATTAGTTGGTACTTTTGTGGCTCTTTCTTTCAACCTGTTCACGATGCTTTCTATTCGGAATAAACCTTTTGCTTATGTCTCTGAAGGTATGTCTTTTGTTTGTTTTAGTTTATTGCTAATTTTAAAAAATTAGAAGGAGGGCCTAGGCCCTGCCCCCAAATGATATGAGACTTTGAAGACTCCTCATGGAAGGCCTCACCCTCCCTGGGGAGCAGAAAGGGTATGTCCTGGGGTTTGGTGTGGGTCATAGGGGAGGATGGGAGGGTGAGGGAACTTGGATTGACATGTAAAACAACCTCGTTTCAAATTGAAATTAAAAAAGGAAAAAATTAATTTCTTAGAAAAACTGTTTTTTTTTAGACCTGGTTTGCCTCAAACTCAGAGATCCACCTGCCTCTTCCTCCCTGACTGCTGGGATCAAAGGTGTATACCACCGTTGCTGGGCAGTTTCTTTTTACATTAACTTGTAGACCTATGAGAATTATATTTAGCAGAGAAGTAAGAGCTAGCCCTTGTTTCTCAAGTCTTTACATGGAAGAGTATACAGAATTTCATCTCTAGCACAAACTGAAAATAATATGTAAAAGCCAGTGAACTAGCTTTGAACTAAATGTAGTATGATTACAGTAGCATGCACCTGTAATCCCAGAACATGAGGATGAGGCAGGGGGATCGCAGTTAGTTTGAGGCCACTTTGTGCCATGCAATGAATACCGAGCCAGCCTCCAACAAAACAGGGTTAGGCGGTTTCTCTGCTTCATGGGTGTATTAGTGGTCATTTTTAAAACTTTCAGTGTTTTGCAATCTCACTAGTCAGGGAAAAAAAAAAGTTTAGCCTCTACTGGTGGAGAAGTGAGTGAATGCACAGAGCCCCTACTCTGAAACAGAACACAGATAGATGTAGGCCTTTGAACTTGAACAACAGATAGCAACGAGAACTTTCTGAAGTGCTGTTCATGTCGCAGCAAGCTCACAGGTGTTAGGAAGACAAACTGTATGTGTACCAATCAGAAGTTAAGGATGATGAGTCTGTAGTGATTCTCTCTGTAGCCATTGAGGCAGACACTTTATCACCCTCACTTTACACTGGGGCCTTCAAAGATGAAATCATTTGTGAAAGCTGTGCTCCTGATGACAAGCTAAGCTAGAGCTTGAAAGCTGTTACTCTGGTGTGTCACTGCCTTCTCTGTGCTGCACCAGGCTGTTAGAGAGCTGGCCAATCTGTTTACAGCATGGTTACATTATAAAATGAGTGTCAGTAGCACAATGGAATGAATGCTACTTGAGTTTGGAGGCTATTTGTCAAGGGACAGTCCCTAATCAGTATCTTTCAGTGACTGTAGATGTACTGTTGCTTTCTGAGAGCCGAAGGAATTAATAATTGACATGATATGGAACCTATTCTTTATATAATTGCATTTTTTTAACTGTATAAAAAACTTTTTAAAAAAAAAATTTGTGGTTTTTCAAAGTAGGGTTTCTCTGAGTTGCCTTGACTATCCTGGAACTTGCTCTGTAGACCATAACTCACAGAATTCTATGGCCTTAAATTCACAGAAATCCTCCTGCCTCTGCCTTCCCAGTGCTGGGATTAAAGGTGTGAACCATCACTGCCCATTCTTGCTAAACTTTTGTTAAAATATATTTACTTATCTGGGGGAGGACTGCATGAGCATGCATGGAAGTCAGAGAGCAACGAAGGGAGTCAGTTCTCTCTCCCATCGTGTGGGTCTCAAGGCTCACACTTGGCTCCTCAGGCTGAGCCATCTTGCTACCCCTAAAACTACATTAAAAACAACAGTGGTGTGTCAAGTCCTCTCCTTCAGCTGTGCATGCAAGTTGACCGCTGCTGGAGCCTTAGTGTCTGGTCAAGACAAGGGAGGAAACGGTAGATGTAGGAGAAGCGTTGCCCATTATCATGTTGCTTGGACATAGTCAAAGTACCTTTTAAAATGAAAGAACCCATTTTTCTAGTAATGACTTATTCTTCTATATAGATAATTTAAGTATTTTCTCCTTAAAGCTGCTAGTACGAGCTGGCTTCAAGAGCATGTGGCAGACCTTAGTAGAAGGTAAGATGATGTGGAACTTCATGACTTGTATAATTTAACAAGAATCCCTGAGAAGTGTGTCTATCATGGAATCTTAGATTGGCATCTGAAATCACTGCATGAGCTGCTCTCTGTTCAGTTCCCAGTCTCTCTTGGCTTTCTAATTGATGGTGCAGAATTCTCTACTGTGGCAGAGCTTTGCCCGAGGCCTCTGCTATGTAAGAAGTAAAACGCACCCTATCTGTAATAGTGTTCTTGTTGATATTGCTGAATTCTTCTAATGAAACACTGTTTGATCTTTCATAGCTTGTGTGGGATTATACCTGGACTCAGCAGTATCTTCTTGCCCCGCATGAACCCATTTGTCCTGATTGACCTTGCTGGGGCATTTGCCCTGTGTATAACATACATGCTGATTGAAATTAAGTGAGTATATCCTATTGTTACCAGATGTGTTTTGACTCCTGGGATCTGATTTTTAAGGGCATCAACAAGATGGATTTGGGGCCATGTTGTCTAGCATTTTTGTAATGACCTGTGTAACTTGGTCAGGTCTTATCCTCAGGTGTTTCCATCTGAAAAACTAAGGGACTCAGGCTTCTGGGATCCTCCTATCCCTGCCTGCCATCTCACTGTGGGAATAATGGGATTACAGTACAGTTGTGGGTCACCACATCCAGTTTGTTACGTGAATTTTAGTGAGCCAGCTTAGGGCATCAGGCTTGAGAAGCAAGCGTTCAATCCCACTGATGTTTTGTTTTGTTTTGTTTTTAACTTGTAACCATTTTATAACATGTAGTTAAGCACATTCACATTTTTGTACAGTCATCACCCCTAACTGAAGTTCTATGTCCATTTAAATAATATCTCCCTATTTCCCCCTTCTCAGAAGCCCTCGTAACCACTGTTCTACACTCTGCCTCTCATTTTAACTACAGTATAAGTAAAATCATAAAGTCATATTTTTGTGGCTGACTTGTTTCATATAGCAGTGTTTTCACAGTTCATCCATGTTGTGTATATTTGTATTTCCTTCCTTTTTGAAGCTAAATCCCACGTTTTATTTACCCATTCATCTACCAGTGCACATTTGGATTGACTTCCACCTTTTGGTTGCTAAGAATGGGCTGAGGTATACAGTTACGCGTTTCAGTCACTGCTTCCAGTTCCTTTTGTATCTACCCAGAAGTAGACTTGCTGTAGCATGTGCCTTTTGTAAGAGCCTCAGTGCAATCGTCAGTGCCTGCCTTCTCTTCCTCTTTGCTGAGTCTTCCTCAAGCCAAACCTAATTGATCATAAGACATACTGTCTTTTCTTAATATGTATTTGTCTCGTCTTTGCTATGTTGACGTCCTGAATAAAGCCATTGTCCTCATCACTGTCTTCAAATGGTCTGTTGGTCTTCTGTTCTCTTTCTCACTATCTCTCATGATTTCCCATTTATATCGTTGTTTCTACTTATGTTGTCCTCATCTCTCCCAATCACTAGTGGGATTTTCCTCTTTCAAATCCCTCCATTTGTAAAACATTTTTAGCTTGGCCTCCTGTCATCCGCTGTAAACCTTACCAACCATCACTGATCTGGACCTGTGTCTGTTTCTGGGTCATGGTTTTTATCCCCTTTCATCCCCTTGCCCATGTTGCCTTTGCTTTCTGGGATATCTCATCATCCGGTTTTCTGAAAGTACAACTCCATAATTACTTATTTAAGGAGGTTTCGTCTGCATGTGCCTGGTGCCCATGGAAGCCAGAAAAGGGCATTTGATACCCTGGAAGTAGAATTCTGGACAGTTGTGGGCACCATGTGGGTGCTGGGAATGGACCCAGGTCTTCTGGGAAAGCCACAATTGATTGCTTTTAACTGCTGAGCCCTCTCTATAGCCCTAGCTGGTAGCCTCGTTATTTACTCTGTGCGTCAGTAATGTCCTGAAGAGACTTGTACTTGATCATTACTGTTCCTTTATTACTTTATTGGATTTTTACAGTAAGGTCTCATGTAGCCAGTGTGACCTGGGACTTAGTTCATAGCCAAGGCTGGCTGTTAACTGTGGATTCTTCTGCTTTCACCTCCCAATGCTGGGATTACTGGTGTGGGTGTGTGGCAGGACAAGTTTGAGACTTCTCTAACATACAAGTGCTTCATTGTAGTTTTCATGTGTGTACTCCTGCTCCTTGTACGCAGAGACTGTGTCTTATTCCTCTTTCTGTTCCCATTATGGGGGCAGTAAACATGTTCAGAATCAGTAACCATTAGCATTTTGGTCTGTGTTGTTAGGAGAGCTTCAGAACTTGAAACATTGATACAGTATAGTCCTTCCGCTATAATGTCACTGTTACAGAGTCCTAGGAAACTTTGAAATTGTTTGTTTGTGTTGCTTTTTTTAATTCAAGATTTCTCTGTGTAGCTCTGGCTGTCTTAGAACTTGCTCTGTTAGACCAGGTTGCCTTCATACTCAAGAAATCTGCCTGCCTCTTCCTGTTGATTGCTGGGATTCAAAGTGTGGGTCACCACACTCAACTCAGTTTTGGAATTTCTTAGAGAAAAATGGATGGAATCACTGATAAAAGTCATATATCCCTGAATCAGAAATTATCACCCCAAGTCTCAAGCCTGCAGTGTCTCTGGTCTCAGATACATTGAAAGGGAGAGGAAAGAAGGATTTTCTTGATTCTCTGAGGTGCTCTCTTGACAGTAGTAGCTATTTGTGATTTTTTAAAATTATTTTTTTTTATAATTATGTTAGAAATGTTATTAAATTGTAAGATTTAAGAGTGGAACTGTTTTTCCTTGCAGTAATTATTTTGCTGTAGATACTGCATCTGCAATAGCCATTGCCCTGATGACGTTTGGCACCATGTATCCAATGAGTGTGTACAGTGGGAAAGTTCTTCTCCAGGTGAGGTTCTTATTTTCATTAGGGACTAGTGTGAGCCATGTTCTCTCTCCCTTTTTTCCCCTTTTCTTTCTTTTTTCTTTTATTGGTTTTTTGAGTCAGGGTTTCTCTGTAGCTTTGGAACCTGTCCTGGAACTCTCTCTGTAGACCAGGCTGGTCTCAAACTCACAGAGATCCACCTGCCTCCTGAGTGCTGGGAGTAAAGGTATAAGCCAACCATGCCCACCATCTATTTTAAGTGTGTGTACCCAAGTATCTGAGTGTGCACCTTGTTTAGGGAGCAGTCCTCAGATGTTAGAAAGTGCTGGAGTACTCTGGCACTGGAGTTACAGGCAGTTGTGAGCCTCCTGGTGGGTGCTGGGAACCAAGCTGTGGTCCTTTGCAAGAGCAGTAAGCGCTCTTTTGTTGTTGTTTTTGGTTTTTTTTGAGACAAGGTCTTCCTTCATTGCCCTGGCTGTCCTGGAACTCACTGTGTAGAGCAGGCTGGCCTCAGTCACAGAGATACTTCTAAAGGTGTGTCTCACCACACCTTGAAGTGGTACTCTTAACTATTCAGCCCCTGGCTGGTTGGTTCCTTAAGTCTCAGGATTCTATAGAGTGACCATCTTCTTCATGAGGAAAAGAGTATGGTGTCTTCTTCCCTGGGAGTTCTTTCCTTAATCTCATTTTGCTTTAAAAAAAAAAAAAAAAAAAAGAGTGTGGGCCAATTATTGATGTCATCCTATTGGGCCAGTGAGACCTCTTTCTTAAATTGTAATAGGACATATGTCAAACATCAAAGGCTAGTTTGAAATCTGTTTGTGGGTGTGGAGGAGGCTTCAGAACCATTACTGAAAAATCATTTTCTTCCTAGCCTATTCATTCTATTCTATTTTATTCTATTTTTCTAGACTACACCACCTCATGTTATCGGTCAGTTGGACAAGCTGCTCAGAGAGGTAAGATGGAAGTCTTTTTTGTTTTGTTTTGTTTTTTGAGGAAGGGTTTCTCTGTGTAGCTCTCAAGCCTGACCTGGAACTCACTCTATAGACCAGGCTGGCCTCAAACTCACAGAGATCCTCCTGCCTCTGCCTCCCACGTGCTGGGATCAGAGGCATGCACCACTATCCAGTGAATAAGTCATTTTTTCATTTAAATTGATGTTAGGGAAACAAAAGGGTGGGAATAATATGTTCAACTCCAGAATTTTATTCCAGGGGAGTTTGTGTGTTACACTAACAGTAGAAGCTATAACACAGGGACAAAAAAAATGGAAAAAAATTAAGGAACTTTGCAGTTTGGAAGCTTAATTTACTTGAAGTATATGGAAGGAAGGTGATGGCCTGAAGTCACCATGTTAGCAGAGTAAATGATTTTTCTCTCTGTCTTCAGGATTTGACCAAAGGCAAAAGTCCATTTCTACATGCTAATCTACCTAACTTCTTAGTTTGTAGATTATTTTCATTTGTATGGAAGTCCCACCTGCTAATAATTTTAAGAAATGTCATTGGTTTGGATATTGACACTCTTCTCAGTTCTCGGTTGTCAGCATTCCAAAGGCCACTTTTTCCAACACAGCTGGATGCATGTCTCAGACTGAACCCTGGTCCTGACTATGTTTTTGTTGTCCCCATGGCTGTATATCTGGCCCTGAAATTTACTGATAGCCTACACTCAAGCAGAAGTTTGCTAGAAGAGGGGTCAGGCAAAGAAACAACTAACATACACACACTAGAAAAGCAAACTGGTACCACAAATGCTCATCATAAACATGTCTACCTTCAAAAAACAAAACCATAGCAATGTAAAGCTCTGAGCAGTCTGCACCTGGTTCAAGGTGTGGGGCAGCCTGAGTCAGCACTGAACAAATGAGAGGTTATCTGTGACCTCTGATTGCTAATGTGTGTCCTTGGGCAGGATTTAACCATGTTCTTTCTAAGCTTACAGCAAGTCTATAATGTGATTGGACTACGCTGCTGTGTCAGATGCAGGTAACTGATAAACTGTTCTGTGCTTTTGATTAGGTATCTACCTTGGATGGGGTCTTAGAAGTCCGCAATGAACACTTTTGGACCCTTGGCTTTGGCTCATTGGTATGTTTTCCACAAGTTTAGTGTAATTTAAGCATGGTTTAAAAGAAGACTTTTCCAAGCCTTCTGAATACTGAGATTCTGGGTATGCACTGTCACATTTAGCTTACATGTCCTTTTGTTTGTTTCTTCTTTTTGTGACAGGTTTCTTTGTGTAGCCCTGGCTGTCTTGGAACTCACTGTGTAGATCAGGCTGGCTTTGAACTCACAGAGATCCACCTGCCTCTGCTTTTCTAGTGCTGGAATTAAAGAAATAGCTTCTGTTGCTTGTCCTTTTTTTTTTTTTTTAATGTATATGAGTGTTCTATCTGCATGTATGTTATATGACTTTATGCCAGAAGAGGTTATCAGATCCTACTATAAGTGGTTGTGAGCTACCATGTGGTTGCTGGGAATTGAACTCAAGATCTCTGGAAGAGCAACCAGTACTTTTGACCACCGAGACATCTGTCCAGTCCCATAAAAACCTTGTTTTTCTTTCTGTTTTGTTTTGTTTTGTTTTTTAAGACAGGCTTTCTGTGTGTATCCATGGCTGTCATGGTACTCACTCTGTAGACCAGGCTGGCCTCCAATTCACATAGATCTGCCTGCCTCTGCCACCCAAGTGCTAGGATTGAAGGTGTGCACCATCAGGCACTATTGCTTGTCATTATGCCTTCCTGGACTTTAAAATGAGGAGTGGCTTACTTGGGGCAGTATTTGTAAACTCATGGGGATCTAATAAAGAAGTGTGGTTTTTCTCCTGACTCTACTCTGGTTGGCCTAACCTCCCCCTCCTGCTGACTCTGCTATGCTCAGTTTGGATTCTCTTCCCAGTTCTTCTTCTTTAATATTACCTTAACTGATTTTATGTATATGAGTGTTCTGTCTTCACGCACAAGAAGAGGGAATCATACCAGGAGTTGGTGGCACACACCTTTAATCTCAGCACTCGGGAGGCAGAGGCAGGTGGATTTCTGTGAGTTCTAAGCCAGCTTGGTCTACAGAGCAAGTTCCAGGACAGCTTCCAAAGCTACAGAGAAACCTTATTTCAAAAAAACAAAACAAAAAAAGAACAGGGAATCAGACCCCGTTATAGATGACTGTAAGCCACCATGTGGTTCACTGAGAATTGAACTCAGAACCTCTGGAAGTGCCAGTACCCTTAGTGGCTGAGCCATTTCTTCAACCTCTTAGTCCTTCTTAATGTGGTCTTTTGTCCTAGAAAGGAGCTGTGCCTGGTCTGTTTTGTAAGGTCACAGGGTTCCAGCTACTGCAGAGCTGATGCCTTGGCAGATCCAGCAGTGTGCTTCCATCACTGAAGGGTCCACAGTTTCTGGTTTTGGCTGCCCTTCTCAGGTTGCCTTCTAAGATTTCCATTCAGTAGCTATCATTTAACTGCTTTGGGGTTTTAGGAAAGTCTGTCTCTGAAACTTCCACTCTGCCACTAAGACATATCCCTAGACTCCCCAGGATCTATTTTAATGGCGGTAGAGTTTTCTGCAAATATCCTTGAATTCCTTCATCAGCCCATTAATACTCATTTAGATGTTTCCATTTTCCCTGTTTAAATAGGCTGTGATAAGCAGTTTTTAAAATAATTTTTATACACACCCCTGGTTATTCTTTAAGATTAATTTTTAGTGAGGCATGGAACTAAAAGGCACATGCCTTTAGTTCCTGGACTCAGGAGGCAGAGATCTCTGTGAGTTTAAAGCCAGCCTGGTCTTCATAGCAAGTTCTAGGCCAAATCAAGGCTACATAGCAAGACCTTGTCTCAAAAACAAAGAAAAAGTTAATATTTATTTGTTTATTTATTTATTATGTTAACAGGGTTTTCCCCGCATGTTTGTCTGCACGCCATGTGGCTGCTGGGAACTGAACTCATGACCTCTGCAAGAGCAGCCAGTGCTCTTAACCTCTGAGCCATCTTTCCAGCCTTGAAAAATTAATTTTTAGAAATGAGTTTTGTGAATCACAGAATAATCAGATTTTACACCTTTTAATGCAAATTATAAAATTGCCTTGCAGAATGGCTGTGCCAGCTAACACTTTCCTATAGTTCATTTTCATGTGTATGTGTGGACAGGTATGTAGAGGCCTCTGGGTGTCGTCAGGTATCTTTCTTATCACTCCCTAACTTACATATTGAGGCAGGGTTTCTCAGTTGAACCCAGCTGGTCTCAAACTCACAGAGATGGTCCTGCTTCTGCCTCTCGGTGCTGGGACTAAACACCACCATACCAGCCTCTTTTTTTTACTCCTTGAAATCCATTTAATTATCATCTCTGGGTCAGATGCACTTGTCTTCTCAAACTTTCAACAACTGCATTTCCATACTGTACCTTCCCAAGTGCTGGGGGTCTCAGATGTTCACCACTGTGCCTGGTTTATGCAGGGCTGAGGAATGAACCCAGGACTCTTGCATGCATTCTATAAACCCAGCTGCATCTCTAATCTGTCTTTTAAAGGGTCACAAATCATTTCATTCACCTTTTACATTAGTAAATAGCAGTAGTAAATTGCAAGATGCTGTTTTTTCTTACTTTAAAGAAAACTCCAAGTATCAATGAAGTTATGAATAAAGCAGAAGTCTCTGTATTATAATTCTTACCGGTCTTTTATGATTTTCCCCCTTTTAGGCTGGATCAGTACATGTAAGAATTCGACGAGATGCAAATGAGCAGATGGTTCTTGCTCATGTGACCAACAGGCTGTACACACTTGTGTCTACTCTGACTGTTCAGATTTTCAAGGATGATTGGATCAGGCCTGCCTTACTGTCTGGGCCTGTTGCACCTAATGTCCTAAACTTCTCAGACCATCACATAATCCCAATGCCTCTTTTAAAGAATACTGATGATATGACTCCTGTCACATCAACACCAGCCAAACCTAGCAGCCCTCCTCCGGAATTTTCATTTAATACCCCTGGGAAAAATGTGAGCCCAGTTATTCTTCTGAACACACAGTCAAGGCCATATGGTTTGGGTCTTAGTCGTGGGCACACACCATACAGCAGTGTGCTTGGCCAAGGACTTGCAGTTCCAGGAGTTGGAGCAGGCCAGGGATTGAGGCCCATCTTCCCACATATACCCAGTAGGTATGGAAACAACAGGACGGGACAGCCAAGACCTTGAAGGACTCTAACTTATTCGTATGAGGAGTATCGACTCCTTGGTTCCCAGTGTATTTAGTAATCCATCTTGCATTGACTGTTCAACCATTTAAATGTCAAATTATTGCAGGCTTGTTCGTATTTCATGAAACCTATAAACTATATTTTTGTAAAATGTTCTTGTGGCAGTGAGGTCTTTGAAAATGTTATGGGTGTTAAGTAGGCTTTATTCAAAAAGCCCATTTCTCTAAACTTGAACTTCAGCTTGTAGCTGCCCAGTGTGGTGTGACTGGAACTCTGCTAGGAAAGCCATGTGGGGAGTGAGTGCCTTTGCCTTTACTAAGAATACTGCATTCATTCAGTGCTTTATGTATGCTGCCCAAATAGGAAAATGAAGTGTCCATTTGAAAAGTAAAAGTCTCTTTTATAGCTTTCCTAAGCTTAATTGCTACATTTTTTTTTTTTGAGGTCCTCTGAATCATTTCTTGTTATAAAGTCAAAAGTTTTTATTGGCACTGTGAGACATATTCTAGTTCAGTAGCACAATTTAATTGTTATTACTAGTCTTTTGGAGCTGTATAGATCAGGCTGGGTTCACACCCATAATCCTCCTGCCTGAGTCTCCCAACTGCTGGTATTGTAGGTTTTGAGCCACTATATGGGTATTCAAAATTTAACAGGTTTTGAGTAAAGTTTTTTCATATACAAATGTAAAACATTTGTAAATAGCCTACTATTCTCAATGTTTTATTTTGGTTACAAATACCAAACCTTTGGTAAAATGGAATGAGTTTTTAAAAAAAAAAAAAAAAAAAAAAAAAAAAATTCTAGCTTTTTTTTCCCCCAAGACAGGGTTTTTCTGTGGCTTTGGAGACTGTGTTGGAACTGCTCTTGTAGACCAAGCTGGTGTCGAACTCACAGAGATCTGCCTGCCTCTGCCTAAAGGCATGCACCACCACCCAGCTCTAGTTTTCTATATTACATTTAGTCAATTGTCCACTGACTTACATAGCTATGCTTTGATTTTGAATAAGTTTATTAAGTATATAGCAGGTTAAGGTAAAAGAATACACAGCAAGAGATAGGAAGATAGCTAGCAGCACATCATCAGCTGGGCACTGTAAACATTCAGCAGAGACCTGCTGGGGCAGCTCCTGTAAGGTGACAGGACAGAGTGTCCCTTCTAGTGAGGTATTCAAATGAGAAATAGCAACAGAATGAAGTCATCTAAGGAGAGGCAACTGCACCCTGCAGAGATGCACCAGGAAGGTGAGGTGGCCTCTACAGCTCCTGACTGAGCTCCCCATTTGTGGTTTCTCTCCCTCCTCTGGCATTTCCTTATCATGAGGCAAACACTTGTGAGCTTTTTTTTGGGAATGGCTGACATTCTAGCTATTCTCAAAGGACACGTTTTAACCTTGGGCTGTTTTCTGTTATCCGTTGTCACAATGTAAGGGCCAGCCCATCACTGATGGGCCCTTGGAGGATGCTTTGAGACAAACATGTTTGGATCTGAAATGGGAGTAGGGCCAATTCTACCTCCACAGCAGCTTTTTAGTGACAGTAAACGAATACATGGCAGGTACTGATATAGTGCACATTTCATAAACACTGACATAATGGAATGTTTTTTACTCATTTTAACAAAGTAGCTTTAAAATTTTTCATTTTATGAACAAAAATCTCATATCTATACACATACACACACACACACATATTTTGGGGGGTGATTTTGAAGCATGATTCCTCTGTGTGGAGCCTTAACTGTTCTGGAACTCGCCCAGGCTGGCCTTGAACTCAGAGATCTACCTGCCTCTACCTCCAAAGTGCTGGGGTTAATGGTGTGTGCCACAATCACCCAAGCTCAAATATATTTTTATTGTAGAATTGAAATTTTTAGTCAAAATATTTTTAACAGACTTAATAACTGGACTGGACAAAAGATTTTTATTCTAATCCTGTCATTCTTGTATATCAATAGTTTTGTAATCATGGGCAAGAAAGTCATTTGTCTTTTGTGAACTCTCTCATTTGTACAATTAGGGAGGAGTAGGAATTAGTTGATTTGTAAATTATTGGATTTAAGTTTTTATTATTAAATCTGCACAATATATGTCCAATTCGTAAGGAGATATTGTGCCCAGAATTTTTTTTTTAACAGTGACCACAACATACAGACCGAGTGCTACCTACACTAGCACCCTTGAGATGTTGTGAGATGCAGAGATTAGTACAGGGTGTTCCTTATAGTTCTGTGGAGTACAAAAGAAAGGAATACTGTTTTTCATTCCTTTTTAATTTCTGAGGTCATAGTTAGAACTACATACAATGATCTTATCAACTCCTGAGAGTTTTAAGAGACCCTGGTTGAGCTTCTGTGTGTGTGTGTGTGTGTGTGTGTGTGTGTGTGTGTGTGTGTGTGTGTGTGTGTGTGTGTGTTTGAGACAGGGTTTCTCTGTATACCAGCTCTGGCTATCCTGGAACTTGCTCTGTAGACCAGGCTGCCTCAGACTCACAGAGATCCACCTGCCTCTGCCTACTAAATGCTGGGATTAAAGGTGTGTGCCACCACCATCCCAGTAGGTTGAACTGCCAATTTTTGTCTGACCACAGATACCCAGTTGGGGCTGGTAGAGGGCTCAGCAGATAAAGACACCACAGCAAAGCTCAATGACCTGAATTAGATTGTCTATTCTCTGGAAAGGAGGAGAAAAACCAACTCACACAAGCTGTCCTTTGACCCTACTTGTACACCATGGCATACATACAACACTGTAGCACAATTAATAAAAACCCAGAGACAGATATCAGGATTCAAGCTGAAGATCAGAGAAGCAAACTAGCCAAGCCACCATAGAGCTCTTAACTTGCCAAGTCTAGGAAGATTCTTAACATGGCTGGAGACTAATTGCCTGCTCTGAGATCCTGCTCCTGTATGTGCTTTTCTAGTGCTGGGATTAAAGGCATGTACCACCACTGTGGCTAGCTTTGCATTCTGATCTTTAGGTAAGCTTTATTAGATCATAAATAATATATCATCCAACTACTCACATGCATACAAATCAGTGTCTGTTTACCTTTCAAATCTGGTAATGCTTTTCATGTGAGAAAGTACTCTATACACTCCAAAATGTCTTAGTTAAACCAGTTGAATTAAATAACACATATGACATTTGTTCTCTAGATAATATTAGCTTATTTATTAGTAGCTTAGTTGTCACATATTCACCCAGGAACACGGTATTTCAAGTTGTTGTGACCCAATATTCTTAGGGCCAGGTAACACAAACATGGACAACAGTTGAAGGGCATCCAGATAGACCCAAGTAGAGAGATGAGGCCAAACACGTTTCTCAAACCCCTTCCCCTTTGTCATGTTTGACTTCCTTCCACAAAATTTTTAAAAAGTATTTTTAAAATTTTATTTTACAGGCAGTTGATGGTGGCACACGCCTTTAATCCTAGCATTCAGGAGGCAGAGGCAGGCGGTTCTCTGTGAGTTTGAGGCCAGCTTGGTCTAGGACAGGCTCCAAAGCCACAGACAAACCCTGTCTTGAAAAACGAAGCAAAAGTTTTATTTTACGTGTATGAGCATTTTTGCCTGCATGTTTATGTGCCACTTGCGTGCCTGGTACCTGTGGAAGTAGAAGGTGGTGTTGGATGCCTTAGAGTTAGAGTTACATATGATTGGAAGCCACCTTGTGAGTGCCAGGAATCAAACCCAGGTCCTCTGGAAGAGCAGCTAATGCCTCTAACCACTGAGCCATCTTTCCAGCCCCCTCCACAAGATTTTCAATGATCCACTGAAAGTAATGGAGTCTCTAAAGTACCTGATGGCTTTAGCTACTTTCAATTACTAGCTTAAAGGTGCCTTTAATGACACTAATATCATAGTCATCAAGCTCCCACCCAATGAGCCTCGCTTCTTGCAGAAAAGTTAACTTTGATAACACTTGACTAAGTTTTCTCACGAGTGATGCATCTGGTAAAAATTCTTTAGTACTGAAGTCAAAAAGCACTAATTGTTTAAGGTTCTCAAATACATTCATGAAGAAAAGCCATCCATCGCTGCTCACACAATTTCCAGCTAAATCCAACTGCTGCAAGTCTCTTAGAGGATTCCTCTCCAAAAATGCACCTAGGAGAAGAAATAAATATGTTAATCGGAAGAAAGCCGTGATGAAGTTCTGTACACACACATGAACCACTTTCTATTTTAAAATGACTGTTTAGACCAGTGTTGTTTCCCAGGGAGAAAGATTTCCTACAGCAGCCTGTGACTATGCCCATTATCTTTTTGTTATTGTTGTTTATTGGATTTTGTTTTTATTTTTTTGTTTGTTTTTTAATTTTTGACACAGGAATTCTCTGTGACTTTGGAGGCTGTCCTGGAACTAGCTCTTGTAGACCAGGCTGGTCTACACAGTCCCAGTGTAGTCCCAGTCTACACAGCCTCCCCAGTGCTGGGGCTAAAGGCTTGTGCCACCACTGCCTGGCTCCATTCTGTTTCCCAAGGTCTAAGATCACCAATGATAGAAGAGTACTGAAGGCAAATATAAGTGATGTGTGTATTTTGCCTTAGCCCTGATTCCTCCTGGAAATGGAAAGTTGATTAAACATTGAGGTGTGAGAGATGCTATGAAATATGAAGGAGTGTTTTTTTTTTTTAAATTGGAATCAAACAGGCAATATTAGGCCCTTCCATGTTTGTAGAAGTAAAATTACTGAACAGGTTTATATTTGGATGTAGGATATCCCTACCTATAAACTTAAGTAACAGAGAGTCATTCCGTATCTAGAGAGGGCTTTGTTTTTCAGCTGTCCTAGCCTCTTCAGGGAGATCATATATTCACCATAAATAGAGCACCCCAAAGGGCCTCCTACATGGAGGAGGGGGATGTCTGTTCTGCTGACTCACAGGACACCACAGGCCTCCCCCAGGCTCATTCCTTATTCCCCTATGCTCTGTTCACCTGAAGTGGAATCAGGGGAACCCTGCTGTATAGAAAAATAAATAAAATATATACACACACACACCTACCTCTGATCCCAGGATCTGAGAGGCAGGGGACAAAATATCATGAATTCATCAAGGCCAGCCCAAGCTACCTAGAAAAATGTCATAAAAAAGCAAGAAACAAAAGGAAGATGCTCCTTTTGTTTGTTTGTTTGTTT